CCCCCCGGGGGGGGGGGGGAGGCCTCTCCGGCCTGTGGCCTCGCTCCCACCCCTCGGCGGCTTCGTAGTCATTCATTAGTTCTATTGCTTCGCTCAACGTAGAGGGGTGGTGTCTTCGTACCCAGCGGGCCCCCCCACTGGGTAAAATATTGATGAACTGTTCGAGGACCACGAGCTCGGCCACTTGCGGACCGGTGCGTTGCTCGGGGTCCAGCCATCTCCATGCCGCCTCTCGCAGGCGTTGCGCTACAACCCGGGGCCGTGTCCCGGGGGAGTATTGCTCACCCCTAAACTTCTGTCGATATGTCTCCGGCGTGATCCCCATCTGGTCTAGGATAGCTTCCTTCACCTTATAATAATGTAGCGCGTCTCTATCACTGAGGCTACGATACGCTAATTGGGCCTGGCCCGTTAGGTAAGGGGCCAAGATAGTCGCCCAGTGGCTCTCCGGCCACCTTGCCGTCGTCGCCACCCGTTCAAAGGTCGTTAAGTAGGCCTCTGGATCGTCGGTGGCTCCCATCTTGGTCAGCCGGATACTCGGACGGGGTCCTGCCTCTCCCATCTCTTCCGAGTCGTCCTCTCGTGCCGCTGCCGCCGGGATCTGAGCCATCGAGAGCCTGGTCTGTTCCTTAAATTGCTCGGCTAACTCTTTCAGTAACTGCCGCTGGTGTTCCTGATGTTGCGTAGATAGTTGTTGGATTAGGGCTGTCTGTTGTTGCTGGCTCTCCCGGTGGGCGGCTTTCATCCACTCCAGGACTTGGGCCGGGTCCATCCCTTGGGCCTTTTTCCGGAGGCGGCGGGCCTCACGGCTCCCCCCCGGTCTCGGCTGAAATAAAACTTTTTCGTCAATGTTCTCCGCTCAGTGGTGCTTATGACCCTCCTTACCAGGGGCTGGGACCTCTACCCTTATGTACCCACATTCTCCACCAGGTGTACAGGGGTTCTGCCCGGCCCCGTTTCGGGGTCCTCTGCTCACACCCCGCGTGGGCTTGGTTCCCACTCGGTGTTCAGTCTTCCCGCCTTCACGGGGGTGAATTCGGGAGGTCGGCCGTGCCTTATGTCGCCGCACGGCCGGCCCCTAGCTCAAACGTTTCTCCCCCCCCGTGGGAGGGGGAGGGAAAGGGGGGCCCGGGCCCGCCCTCACTCATGGGCCCCAGCCCAGGGCCCTAAGGACACGGAGATATTTAGCTCCGGTCCGGCTGACGGGGCTCCATGCCGAAACGCGTCAGCCCGCCAGCTCCAATGAGCTCTGCCCTGGGCCACTTCCTTCCCCTCCTCAGGTGCCCTTCCGCCCCCTCCTCGGGGTGGTCACCTTGGGCTCATCCGTCAGGCTGGCGGTCGGGCGTCCGTACGCCCGCACTTTGCGCTGGGCCGGCTCCCCAGCCTAGAGGACTATCGTGGCTGGGCTCAAGAAAAAGGGGGGTGGTTTCTCCCGACCTCCGCCCCTTTGGCAACCAGCCTGCTCGCGGCCGCCGCCCAACTCCTCTCTCCCCCCCCCTTGAGCGGAAGGGAGTCCATTTTAAATTCCCCGCCGGGCGCGCGCCTCCCCCTACGTCACCGGGCGGGCGTTCCCCCTACCGCCCGTCCGGTTTCCCCATTGGCCGGCTCCCCTGTCAATCAAGGCGGGGAGATGCCGCCCCCCGCTATCTCAGCGCCGACGGACACGGCGTTACCGCTTCGGGGGGGGCGGTCAGCTTTCCCTGCCCCAGCCCGGGCTCCCGGGCGGCGCCGGGCGCCCCCCGCGGGGGCCCCCCCCGGGGAGGAGGGGGGGCCGCCTGATCACACTAGTCATTTTTTGGGATCCACAATAACACCATTGTACCTTCATCATCCTGATCAAATGAGTTCAGAGAAAGGGACCCAGATGCTGCTGCCTCCACCTCCACTGCCTCCAGCTCCACCTGGCACATGTCCAGCCAACCCTAATTTCCAGACCTGCAATGTATCCTTTTCTGTCCTTGTCTTCTCTTACCTAATGATCACACTAGTCATTTTTTGGGATCCACAATAACACCATTGTACCTTCATCATCCTGATCAAATGAGTTCAGAGAAAGGGACCCAGATGCTGCTGCCTCCACCTCCACTGCCTCCAGCTCCACCTGGCACATGTCCAGCCAACCCTAATTTCCAGACCTGCAATGTATCCTTTTCTGTCCTTGTCTTCTCTTACCTAATCTCTACTTTTTCCTGTTATCTAATAGCATAGCCAGCCAAAACTGCGTATTAGGCAACACTCCTTCTTAGCTGTATTTTTGCTCACAGGCTTATAGCAATGCTCATTACAGTCCAATGCTTGGACAAGTGTGATAGGTCACTCATCAGACAGTTTGCTGTGCCTGTGTTTCTCCAGCAATGAGGTTGCAGTGAAAGAAAGTCAAAACCAGTGACAAAAGCTGCATTTTCTGTCTTTAGCTGTTCTTTGTGTGTGTCTCATTTTGTCTTCCAGGAAACTATCTATACTGCAGAGATTTTCTGGAAAAATGACTGTTTTTCCAAAACATTGCTAGACTACATCTACACTACGAGTTTTCTCTGCAAAAAATATGCTAATGAGGGGCTAATTTGCATGAGTTGAGATCTCATTTGTATATCTTCTGCCAATCCATTTTTGCACTGGGGTTTTTGCGCAAAAACAAGCAGTGTAGACAGTTTCTTTTTGTGTAATTACCCTTTTTTCTTTAAGATCTTTATGCTCCCCAAAAGGAGGTATACTGATCTTGTGGAAAAAGGGGTTCTTGCGCAAAAAGAAAATGTCCACCTTGCTTGTTTTTGCGCAAAAACCCTAGTGCAAAAATCTGTTTACTGAGGCTAGACTGCAGGCTTCTTCTGGAAGAAGCTTTTTTCGGAAGAGATCTTCTGGAAAAACTTCTTCCAAAAGAGAGCGTCCACACACAAAAGCGTATTGAAAAAGCCATGTGCTTTTTCGAAAGATAGCATCCACAGTGATTGGATGCTCTCTCACATAAAACTCCACCCGGAACCACTTCAGGCAGAGCTTTAGGTCAGCAGTTACTTCCCAGTGCTGGTGCCAGAACCTTGCAGAGAAATGTGCTTAAAGGGACTCCCCCCAGACAGCTGTTTCTCTGCTTCTGTTGCAAGCATGCCTACCTCTTTGAGGAACAGCAAAGCTCTCACAGTGCTTGCCCTGCTTTTGTGGACACCACAGGTTTTCCCTTTGTGCCATGGAGCGAGCGCTGCCCCTGGGCGTGTGATGGCCCCACACAGCCATGCTGCAGTTTTTGCAGCACTTTGTGCCCAACTACCTTTCTGGTCCTGCACAAGCTCAACCACAAGCTCATTCTGGGTACCTCTCCCTGGCTGCAGGAGCTACATTCAGGCAACCGCAACCCACTGTAGAGAGAGATGTTTTTGGAGACTCGACACCAATTCGGACTGATGGGACCAGCTGGTCATGGAGCTGTGGAATGACCAGCAGTGGCACCAAAACTTCCTCATGCTGAAGGCCACATTTTGGAGCTATGTGCCTGGCTCACACCAGCCCTCCAGAGATGCAACACCCACTTGTGGCCTGCCATCTCCCTGGAGAAGTAGATCGCCATCACCTTCTGGAAGCTCGCCACTCCTGACAGCTACTGGTCGTTGGGCAACCAGTTTGCCATGGAGAAGTTCACCATTGTGGCCCTTCTCATGGAGGTAAGTCACTCTGGGGTGGGAGGGGAGTCCTGGAAATGGAGGATCCTCGGGAAAGTGTGGTTGGGGGCTGTGGAGGGTGGAGGGGGAGTGGGGAGGAAGCTCCATTCCTGGGAGGTTGTGCCACTCCACTCTCATACAGCCCTACTGCTGGGGTGGTGGCCCTCATAGGGGGTGGCTCCTGGGGTGTTTGAAGGAAGAGTAGGGATGAGAGGGGCAGGCACCTCCCAAGGGCTCAGGAAGAGTAGGGATGAGAGGAGCAGGCACCTCCCAAGGGCTCAGGCTCTCCCTCTCTCATTCTCTGTTTTCTGTGTTTGTCTCCTTCTGCAGGTGATGAGGGCCACCAACTCCATCCTGCTGCACAGAGCCTGGGAGACCTTGGCCCAGTCGTGGCCAGATTTGTTGCCCTAGGGTTCCCAAACTGCGGGGGATAGATTGACGGGACTCACATCCTGATCTGCGCACTGGCGTATCGAGCGGCCCAATACATCAATTGCAAGGGCTACTTCTCGATGGTGCTGCAGGCCCTAGTTAACCACCGTGGTTGTCGGGTGGTCAGGCAGAGCACATGATGCCCACATCTTCAAGAACTCTAGCCCGTATGGAAAGCTGGAAATGGGCACGTTCTTCCCCGGCATGACTTTGCAGTTGGGAACATGCCGATGCCATTGTGCATCTTGGGGGATGCAGCTTACCCCCTGATGCTGTGGCTAATGAAGCTATACATAGGCCACCTGGACCCCAGCAAGGACCAATTTAATGCCCACCTCAGCCAGGCCTGAATTCAAATGGAATTTGTCTTTGGGTACCTGAAGGCGTGGTTCGGGTGCCTGCTGACTGGCCTGGACGTGGGGGAGCACAACATCCCTGAGGTGGTCCCAGCATGGTGTGTCCTTCACAACATTGTGGAGAGGAAGGGGAGGCCTTCCTCCTGTCGTGCCGCAGATGCCGGTGGCAAGGGACAAGCTTTCCAGCAGCCACAGACAGCTGCCATCTACCAGGCCCATCAGGCCGGGGTGTGCATTCACGAGGCCCTGAGGGAGAGTTTCTCTCAACCACTCCAGTAACTCTCCCCAGGGCCTCTCTAATAGGGGCCTTTGGCTTCTGCCCTATCCCTTCCCCACCACAACCCCTGCCTTTGCCCTTTCCCTGACCTCTCAGTAAAAACACCTGTTTGATTTGTAGCAAAACAAAGTCTGCATTTATATTACATTAAAAAAAGATGTGCAGGGGGAAAGGAGCTCATAACCTGGAGGGGGAGAGGGCAGGTAGGCCTTTGCCCTTTCCCTGACCTCTCAGTAAAAACACCTGTTTGATTTGTAGCAAAACAAAGTCTGCATTTATATTACATTAAAAAAAGATGTGCAGGGGGAAAGGAGCTCATAACCTGGAGGGGGAGAGGGCAGGTAGATGTGCCATCTTGGGTGTGGGGAAATCGTCAGAGTTGGGGTCGGGTGGGTCTGAGGCCCACAGAGGGGTGGATAGGAGAGAGGGCTGGAGTGGGGTCATGGACGGCAGGCATCAGGGAGAGGGAGCATGGGCATCACTTGGGGAGGGGGCAGTGGCATCGCATGGAGGGCTGGTGGAGGGGGAATGGGCATAGCAGGGAGGGCTGGAGGGTAGAAGCCAGAAGCAGAGATAGCAGGCATGTGTGCCATGTCCATGCGTCATCGTGTATCTTCTGCGCCAGGGTCTGCTGCATGTCACACAGGATGCTGACATGCTGGTGCATGAAGTCTTCCTGGACCATGGCATGCTTTGAGTCCCCCAGACTCTGGTGGCTGGTTGTTGTGGGGTGGCTCACCTCTCAGTCCCAGCAGGTCCAGCTGTGGAGAATACAAAGAGGGAGAGGCGGTCAGTCATCCATGTAGACACTGTCCCTGAGGCCATGTCCTCCTCTGTGAGTAGTGACCAACAGGCCTCGGGCCAGGGAGGGAGATGTCCTGGGAGCAAGGCCATATGTGGCCTCCACAGCAGGTCCTGCCTCACAGGAGCCCTGAGGTGCCCAGGGGACCATGCTGCCCGCTTCCAACCCTCCCCGCAGCCCACAGACAAGCAAGCAAATGATACCCATGCCCCCTCTCCCTGCCTCCCTGCCATCCAGGACCCCACTCCAGCCCTCCCTCCTATCTACCCCCCTGTGGGCCTCAGACCCACCCACCCTATGAGTGGCAGAGGAGCCAGGAGCAGCCTGGCCCTCCCTGCGGTCTGCACACACACCTGCAGCTTGCAGCACTGCCCGCAGGAGCAGGTGGCTTCTTGCACATGCAGGCATGCCCACATCTGTGTGCAGCACTGCTCGGGGTGTCTGGGGTCGTGCCTGCATCCTTGTGGCTAATTGGCTTCCAGTCGTGGCAGGTGCTGGGAGGCCCCTCCCAACCACCCATGTGTGTGGCCTCCTCTGAGCCTGGCAGCAGGATTCCACCCTGTGCTCAGTGTGACAGGGGTCACTTACCTACACCCGTCAGGATGCGCCCCCTGCACTCTGGGCTCTGGATGGGTGAAGCGCACGCCCAATGGCCTCGGGCTGCTGTGGGCTTGCTGTGCATGTGCACTAGCGGCCCCACACTGGGGCAGCTTTAGGACCCCGGGGAGGTTTGCGCCGGGGCAGGAGGTGGCTGGCTGCACGAATATAGCAGACTGGGACTCTTTTAGCTGAGGGGAGGGGGGCCTTAGGACCTAGCGGGTAAGAGAGCTGGGAGCCGTCACAGGAGTGACGTCACCCCCAAAAGCCAGTCAAAGGAGGGGCAGGGGATTGAAAAAGGGCTGACTCCTAAAGAGGGGGGCGGCGGTGGACCCCGGCGGGGGTAGTTGGCCATACTCTCCCCCGCAGGTGCTATGGCTATGAGGAGAGAACCGAGAAGCACCAGGAATCCAGTGGGCCAACTTAGCAGCTGTGGGCGGTGACGAATGGCAGTTCTCGGGCGAGGTGTATGGGACTGAGTATGAACTTTGAATGACCGGAAAGATTTGAACATTACTGGGAGTGAAGAAGGACTGGGAGGCAGAGGCAGGCTGCGGCAGCTGGCGTCCCAGGCGGAACGCGTGATTGGCACCCCTGCCTGCACGGCCGTCAATGGAGTGATGTCATAATCCGGTGCCCTAGGCAACGGCCGAGTCGGCCTATAATCAAGGGCCGCCCCTGATTATAACACACACTGTAGAATTCACCCACTGGTTCCTGCATCAAACTCAGTAACTTCTTGTTGAACTAGAGCATATATTTGAAAAAAAAAACCCATCCCTGCCTGATTTAAAGGCTCCAAATGGCAAT